CATCGCATGCGTCCACCGAAGGGAAGTCGAAGATCGGTACATACAAGTATGTGCTGGGAGTCCACGCTCGTGTTCCAAATTGAGCGGCAGTTTTGAACACAGCCTTTCCAGCGTTAGTTGATCACGATATGGTCACTTTGTGTCCATGGGAACACAGGCTGGTGGGCGCTGTATCACCCTTCTACGTGTGCTATGTCGGGATTTAGTGCCCGCGAGAAATAGGCTAGCATCTTCACACAAGTGTAGTAACCGCTCACCGTTGTCATTACAGAAGCCTACACCATGTTAGTCGCCCAATTGCAGCTAATCAGGGGAAACTTTTCTAACTTGGTCGTCAAGAACACCAGTCAGCATTACAGTATGCATACTTCTTCGGTGAAGGAGTTCGTTCAGTTGTTGACATAAGTCATCTTCACTTACTCAGTACCACAATGTGTGGGGTCTAAGACGGCAATGACAAACAGGCACTGTTTGTCTGCGCCTGTCTTCGAAGCCTGGAACGATCAAACCAATCTGACGGCGCATATCCGGTTAGGGTTTGGGATCTAGTCAATCGGAGCAGATTCAGTCCGGGGGCTTAGAGCAAGACCCACACCCGCTTCACAAGCATTTGAAGCTGCATTATCTCCGGACAAGCGCAAAAGATAGTGCCGCTATTGTCGTCGCGTGTGGAGGATCACAAGGTGGGCACAGAACTCGCTTCTTGTAAGTGATTTCCCGATAAACAACAAAAATCAAAGGCTAGGATGTCTAGCTTCGGGTAGGTGGTTCCACGTGGTCAATCGGTAGCAAATTTCGCACGTTGAGGCAAGCTAGTTTCGAAAAGGATCGTGTGCACCAAAGAGAAACGGGTGAGCTGAACTTGTCCGTTTTTTAACATGAACTTGTCCACTGTGGCAGAGTGACTCTACTGTTGCGTGTGAGTCGAAACTACGCAGGTGACTACTGAATTAATATAAAGGAGGGCCAAGAATTGGGTGCTGCAAACTGGGGGGATAAAATGAAGTTGGAAGGAAACGAGATGGATGAAAAGCACAAGATGTAAAGTAATAAAACTGGAAGGCATAAACACTAGCGTCCTCACCCTTATTCATTCTGCTCGATGCAGCAGATAGGACGCTGTTGATTATCCTCTGTGGCGGCCAGAGCATCAGCAAATTGGTTGAAGCAACGTTAATTGTATTGCGTGGACAGGATATTGTCAGGTCGCCAAGGCCTAGAGAGGAGGACGATTAGGGTTCTTAATCAAACCTTTGGTTCAAAAACCTGACTGTAAAGCACCGGGATTTTGACACTGGGCTACAGGGAGTCCGTTTTAAGGGATAAGACGCCACTCTCAAACTGTAGGGCCAGGAGACCGAGTTTGTCTGGCCAGTAGCTATTGACCAATCTAGTATTATCAACTGTGGAGGTGCAAAAGCACCATTAAGCATGGCCCAGTGGATCGTTGAGTCAGGCAAAACACCGCACCAGGGCCAGTCTCATCGCGATGGCTGCTGCACTGATAAAGTAACAGAGCCTCATCCTCAACCGCTGATAATTCACGGGTACCGCATCACCATTTACCAATTAATTCATATTTTTCGTCCACTTTCACAGTAGTTTTATTTCTTTCAAACCCTTTAAGTCGCACATTTTCTTTTTGACCCTCATTCATTGCGTGGTGTTCGTTATGTTTCATACCTGTGTAGCTGTTTCACCAAGTTTTTGGAAAATCTGTAGATATTTACCGTAATCATCAACCTCACGAGCTGTTGTTTCGTTATCATACGATTTTCAGCTATCCATTACACGGGCATGTCCAGTGTACTATTAAAACCCAACTGAATTTGAGTTTTTTACTCTTTCTCATAAAGTATTTACGTATCCGTGCTGATGATTGTTGTTACAAGATTGGTGCTTCACGCATCCTACTTTCTCTTCACTGTTCGTCCTACTTCCCGGACAATCGGTGGCACTGTATTCCCAGACCCTCCTCTCCGTGGCTCAGTAAACAAGGCATTCAATCATTGTTGCATCGTTTGTTTTAGCACAGGCTCCGTGTATCTATGGGGCTTCATTTGTATCCTTCACCATCCGGAAACTAAACAAGGAATACATTGTTGGAGAATGCGGTAGATCAATCCAATGACCCGACCACCGGACTTCCTATGCGTCACCGCCACCGCTTCTAACCGATTTTCACCTTCAGCCATGCTCGTTGCCTTATTTAGGGTGTGTCTGATTGAAATATATTATCTGCCGCAATAAGCTTTGGTTGGCTACTGAATCGTTGATTTGTTCATGAAGCTGGGCACTTCGTTTGTAGGCGTCCCATCACCCACCAATCGATGGGGCATCTTCGTAATCGCAAGTAGCTTCGCGAATGTACACCGTAGTTTAGGTGTGTTCTGAGACGGATACCGCCTGCTACCATGCCTGTCCGCATATTAATTTCATTTGTCAGTAACCGCGGTTCACCCAGTTTCGTATCCCACTGATATACACTCCCTGAAATTATTATCAACTGTGGGCATATCTATGTAGTTTTGTCAGCGTAGTGACCACTTTGTCCATGGTACGCAGTTATCTAACTTCGTCCGTTAGTTGTCCATTAACTTGTTTTTGTCGCGTCAAACGACGGTTTAAAATCCACTTTATTTCTTTCCGGCTGGAAGGTTGGCGTACCTTTTGGACGTCAATATGCTTATCTGGGATTTTCTTCGTTGTGAATCACTCTTTGCAGCATTCTTTCTCTTGGTACTCTGTGCTTCGGTGTCTCTGTTTCGATCCTATCGAGTTTCTACCATTATTCACTCCTTATTAGCTTTTTGCAGACCCATTTCGTAGGGTAAAACATAATATTTTTTTTCTTCTTTTTGCCTAGTAGCTGGCTGGTAGCTCAGCTGGCATGCAACTGTCGTATTTATTTTTCCTTTATGTATTGTATGTATGTATGTATTGCGGTACAATAGCGGAGGTGTTTCACCACCTCTAGCTGACATGTATAATGATGCTGATGATGATGATGCAGACCCATTAAACGTGTTAAACGTGCCAAGTTTCCCCTGACTATTGAAGTGAGCCCTAACCATGAACCATTTGCTCAGTGGCTATCGCATCAGATGTTATTATCTGTCACTCAATCCGTGAATCATAATCCAGGTCCACGCCCCAATCAGCTTTCTATTGTCCAAACCAACACATGTTCATTTTATACCTCTTATCTATCAGAGCCACTCACAAATCGGTAAATTCCATTCGATCGTTACTCTAATGGCGTCCACTCGAGCTCTGTCCTCAGCATTTCAGGTCAATTATCAACGTGGCATCGATATAGGGCGAGTAAGCAAGTAATCAGCCTATAGTCATTGCTGTTTGCTCGCTAGCTACCACCACACATGGGACCGGTGAATATTTATTCAGCTACAACGCAAACACTTTTCAGCCTTGATAATAGAAGTTATTGAAAGTGAATACTGGTATAAAGAGTAATTCAAGGAATTGTGGTTAGGAGTAACACCAATGAGTACTTTTGTCAGCTAATATTTTAGTAATAAGATTGCGGTCCAGCGAAATAAACGTGCTGTGCAATGGATTCTCGAAGCACTGCCTGCTCCTGTGCGGGCGTATGCGGTTTTGCACTTTCTTCTGGTCGAGAAAGTCGACACCCATAGTGCGGTAGTGTGCTATCTGACAGCGTTTTTGCCGCGTCTTTTATAGGAACTGACATGAGTAGACACTGTAGTGCCAACAAAAGCTCTTCGAAATGCTGCTGCACCTAGAGAATCGTTTCAGCAACCGTCTGGGTGCTTGGAAGTACTCACACAGTGAATCCAAAAGAATCTCTAATGTCCAGTACGTCCAGTGTGGTGGAACAAATGCAGTGATAAGTCGAGAAATGTGAAAGCTGGTTACATGGACCGCTCTTAGACGAGAAAAGCAGTATCAGTATCTTGACTTCTGCGAATACTTCGTCGTCATGAATTGACACAGCTACATTGGGGCACTACGTGAGCCCTAGGCATTTTAGTGGACTCGATAAATGTGAACTCTCAAGTGTTATGACGAAGCTGAGGACATTCTACAGGGAATCATTAGTAAGGATCCCCTTTATGTAAAGAGAGAATGACATCGTTTTAGTCCACTTTATTCGGCGATTGATAATGAGCGTGTATTTGTCCTGGTACATTTATATCTTGGTTGAGAAAGTAGTGCCTGGCCGACTAATAAGTCTGTGTATTTGCTTGAAGTTGTTTCTTCAGTGACATCTGTTAACTTAGAAATGGTGACAGAACAGTTACGTAAAAACACCGGAGTTTGTATTGAGCTGTGGGGATCTTTTCCCGCCGTATCGGATAATCTGTTCGGTACAATTGCCCCTCAAGAGGGGGACTATTAAGGCTTGGATTTCAGAGTGAAACATTTGTTGGAAGGGTTCTATCTGTGTGTACAGATGGATCTTAGAAGTAAACCAGCAGCGAATAGGAGACGAACCTGATGGATTCGATCACTGGACACTGATGGGTATACCTTCGTTTGCGTTGCGATGAGTTCCTCATCGCTTGTTTAACCGAGTCAAAAGAGGAACCTCATTGGCCCAAGAAGGTCGTTCTTTATGGAGGTGTGCGAATGATATACTTCAAAGTGGGTTCCACTTGTGAAACTTGCTGAATATTCATCGTTCATGAGTGCACAAAGCATATCTCCAAACTGACTTGCTGAATGAACACTTTTGCGATGCAAAAGATCACAACAACCGTTCACCGTGAGGTGTCATAGTCAAGGTTTCTATGCAACCTGGATCCTTATTGACATTTACCAAGATGCTGTTATGCAAGTAATGTCCTTTCTCTGTTGTACTGAAGCTGGTGACCAAATTACAGTATGCACCATTCACAATTCGAAGGCTATGACAAACCTTTTGACTATTCCGGTCTGTATAACAACCCCATATGTGACACAATTCTTCGATCATATTGTAGTTTTCCGCTCCCTTCCTTTTATTCCCATTCTTGTAGCTCAATCCGTATGTACCCACCACGCACTTCAACTTCCGTTATTTTGAAATTGCTCTCGGTGATGGTCGCACATGTTGGTGGTACGGAGGTGGATCGGATCTTACTCCGTACTATTTGTTCGAAGAGGATGCGCGGCACTTTCACATGCAGCTAAAACGAGCATGCGATGCGCACAATGCATCTTACTATGATTGTTTTAAAAAGTGGTGTGACGAGTACTTCTTCCTTCAGCATCGCGGTACGTCATTACCGTTTTAACTAACCCACTCCTAACTCCGCTCGTTTGGGTCATTACCATTGGCGATTGGCGTACAACGACCTCCTTTGATGAACGTTGTTGCAAGTGTACCACATATATAACGAATAAACGGGATTATTTCTGCATTTGTAAAGATACATGTGGTAATCCTCAGATGGATCTTTGCGGAACTGCTTTGGCACTTCTGAGTTTTACCTGCTTCCACAACCTTTTTTCTAACGCTAGCAATCGACTTTTTAGAGTCGAACCCGTCTTTCGCCTAGGTCAACTTGGAGCAACGTCTGGCTACAAAACTGTCGTCAGCTTATTTTGTTCTCCTTACCTTTCCTGGTCCTCTGTGAATATCTTCAGGCTGACCATTACGATGTTGCATACATCATGCTTATACACCGTAGTTGGGCTACACCCTCTTACACTTATTAGATCATCTTACTCTATCTGTAAACTATTCCACTTTATTTGATTTGCTCAATTCTGTTATTCTGCTGGATATTCCGTGTCAATTTTGCGCATTTATTTTCCTTCGAATTCTGTGTTGGTTGTTTGATATCCTCTGTGTGGCTACGCTTGAGGTGAATGTTGACAAGGTGCTTACGTGCCTCACTCTCTCCGCCTCGAATGCTGGCTCCAGGAGACTACGAGTGGTTGCTGGGGGGACAGGGTGCACGGTCCTCGTGGCCGTGATAGGCTCAAATAGTAGCTCTATCCCGTGTGGAGCAGACTACGGCCTAGGGAATCTCCTTGTTTACCTGTGGTACGCATGGTTCCTTACATCGATAGACAGGAACGCTGCTCATGTGCATGTTGAAAAAGTGTGGGCCGGCTCCGTTGATGAAACATGGCTCCCAACCATATGTCTCCCGCTATTATTCCTTCGGGTTTACATTGGATATGGGGTGTGTGGTTGGAGCTGTGGGTGGTGCAGCGCAAGCCACCCATGGTCCCTCTGTAGACGCAGGCGTCCTGTGGCTGGCCACAGTGACAGGCAAATCCGAAACCGGATGCCGCCAACCATATATATGTAATCAACGGTCCGGTAAATGGACATGTAGCCATCGAAAAAACCATGGGGATTAGAGGAATGTACAATTTGATTAAAAATAGAACGACACATTTTTGTTCGTTTTTCGTACACCGATCTTTTTCTTTTCTGTCTTCAGTGTTTAAGGCATTAAACGTGAATCATTGCAATTAGGTACACAGTTCTTCCACTAATGCCGGTTACGGGCCATGTCTTCAAGCGTGTTAACCCACTGGTACTCCTCATCCTTGGTTTCCTATCCAGGAAGACGTACTGGTCTAACGGCGATTAGATGTGATGTCAGTGTTTTAATGTGCTGTCGCCATCTTGAAGGCTGACCACCACGCGGTCGCCTTCAGCCAGTTCCTGACAGAGCGAATAACGCGCGGCGTGTCAAACTTTCCGTTGCCTGACCTAAGATGTGACCAAGCCATCTCAACTGGCACAGAAAAGCCAGCTTGTTGTAGCGAATACTCGCATTCCCCAAAACACGACGTCTAAATACGCCACCGTGATCTTGATGTTGCCAACACACACGAGGGATCCTTCTCAAGCAACCGTTGTTCAAGACGGAACGACGACGCATATCCTGCACATTAAGTATCCAGGAGTCGCTACCATACAACAACACTGAAAGGACAGAGGCGCTGTAAACTCAACCCTTTACCGAGATGGAGACGTCTCGACGGAGCGACAAGTGTCTTTAGATTGTTCAAACCTGATCGGGTTTTAGGCACGCTCAGTAAGACTTCATTGCTGATAGTTCTACCAGAAGAAACAGCTCCCATGGTGGACAAAACTGTCTACCTGTTCAAGCTGTGCATCCTAAAGCATGAACACACGGGGTCAGGTACGGCCCAATTCTGTGGTTGCATTTTGCACTTCGAGCACGCGACACTCATGCCGTGTCTCGATGCATCGATCGCTAAACGATTCTGCGTGAAGAACAAGGGACCGAATGTAAGCAATAAAATTAACACTTTTATTCACCAAAAAGCGATGCACGCCTTTACAGACATCATCATATTATGATAACAAAACCTGATCAAACATGTACGAAAATACAATGTGTTTGCCGTGACAGTGAATGTTTGTGTAGAGTTGTGTATGTCTATGTAATTGTGTGTGTGTAGTTGTGTGGTTTGCGCTTGTAAGTGTGCCTCTATATTATTGACTGTTTGGTAGCGCCAGCAATGCGAGAATAGATGATTAATGTCCATGAGTTGGTTAGCATTGTCTGACTATCCACGAGCAGTGATTTTAGTTTGTGGCGAGTTACGACCACCACGTCGCAGTGTGTTGATAAACATACACCTGTGGCTTTCCTATGGCTAAAGCTTGCTAGGCGAAAACGCACCACGTCCTGGAACACTGACTCCGCTGGAACGGGTTAAAACCGAACCACTTAGCTGGTACCACGAGAAAGTTGTTCTGCTATCCAGCCTCCGAGGATTCATCGTCGAAGCGCATTAGTAGGCACCTTCCATGCTGTTTGCGTCGGGGCGCTACCGGGGCTGTAACGAGCTGTTTAATAGCTCATCTCCTTGATATTGTGCATGCGGTTGACCCTATCCGTGCTTTCGAATATTATACGGGGTCTCTCCACTCTAATCGAAAGGCATCTGCCTCCGCACACTTGATACCGCCAAGGTGAGCAGTATTCGGTTGTCAACCGCTTTTGTGTTCACAAAAGAAACTGATTGAATCTCTTAAGCCACACTGGCCAAATAGAACGGATGATTTTGTGGCCAGTTGCAATCGCTCAACTAAATCTCTGCCCTAATTGTCTCTCCGTTTACATTACTTACGAGTAGGAAGCTTTTAGCTGCACTTTTTAATTTATTTGCCCCCCAGCTTACTTGACGGAATAATTTTCGGTGGTTCCCGAGGGCAGCGGACATTTCCATCTTTCATGTACTATGAGATCACCACGATTCGCTGTCTCTCTTTAGCCTAGCACTGAGTTTTCCGCCAGTCTCGTTGTGTTCACTTTCAGTTGTAATGTGCCGGCGAGCATCGATAAGTTCCAGAGACTGCGAAGAAGTCCAATGTCCGTGTTGGCTATTAGACTTACCACATGAGGATTCTCCTGCTGCTAGTAAAGTCTGGTGAATATGAAACCAGTGAGCTTCAATTGTGTCCAGTGAGCGCTTACTCAACTCACGTCAGTGAATTTTGCTGGGCATTCAGAACAGCTGGCTTCGCCCGTTGGTTGGTGTCAATGCGCTTACAACGTCGTCTTGGGCGTCCGCCAAAACGCACATACAAGTGCATGGCCGGTGTTCACACATGTGCTCCAACTCGAGCGACAGTTCTGGACGCAGCCTCTCCATCGGTAACTTATCGCAATGTAATCGATTTGCGTACATAGCTGGTTCAATGCTGGTGGGCGCCAAGTCACCCTCCGGCGGTTGCTATGTCGGAAATTAGTGCTCGCAAGTAATAAGCGGGCATCTTCACACAAATGAAGTAACCGCTCACCGTTATCATTATGGGAGCCTACACCACGTTGCCCGCCTAGACGCTGTTCATCAGTGGATTATTTTCGAACTTGAGCCCTCTGATCCCCCAGCCAGCACAACAGTGTCCGAGCTTCTTCTGTGGTGTAGGAGATCGTTCATTTGGCGATAGAATTCGTTTTTTACCCTAACCATCGCTAGAGTTTGTGGGTGCTTAGGCAGCGATAACGAATAGACACCTGTTAGTGACACGCGACTTCGAAGCTTTGGACGAGCCAGCCAATCGGACCGCGCACATCCGGCTTCTGATTGGGATCCAATCAACCAGAGTAGCTTCAGCTGCTGGTGTCATCTGAAGGGGATTGCAAAGTGAGCACTGAGCTCATCTTGCAGGCGGGTCTCCGATAAGCAGCAGATATCGATGGATAGGGTCTCTGATGTTCGGGAAAATGCTGTCTGTTGACCGAACTATAGCAAGATGCCTACATTGAGGCATGCTAATCTGAAGGAGGATTGAGGGCTTCAAATGGGAGCCGATGAGCTGGGCTTGACCGCGTGCTTGGACATGGGCTTGTCGACAGGGCAGTGATGTTGCTGCGCATTCACTTGTGATTTGAAACTAAAAGGTAAATGCCTATCAAAGCAAGATGTGGAAGGCCAAGAATTTGGGGGGATAAAAGTGAAGATGGACTAGGACGATACGGGTGAAAAAGCTTAAGAGGGGGAATAAGAAGACGAGAAGGCTTGAGCAGTAGCATCCAAACCCCTATCCTCTGCGGTGATCGGAGCATCAGGGAATAGTTTGAGGAAAGATTCATAGTATTGCGTGGGCATGATACGGTTAGGTTGCCCAGACCTAGACAGGAGAACGGTTTGGCTTCTCAACCAAAGTCTTAGGTTCAAAAACCTGATTACAAGGCAGCAGGTTTGGCGGTGGGCTACAAGGAGTCTGTTTTAAGGAATGAGGAGCCACCCTCATTCCCTCCCTCGCCCTCATTTCAACAGCATAGCTCTGTGGATCTCTGAGCCACGCAAACCATCGCAATCACGGTAAGATCCAGCCTCGTTACGATGTCTGACGAGCCCCAGTAGGTCGAAACGCGTCTGATGCTTTTCCGGATTGGCGCTTGCGCTATGGAGCTTGTGCGATGCTAGGCGAACAAATTGCAAACTTATCGTCTACGTTTGTTGCTAGTTTCTGCCCCTGGTTGTCACATGATTTAATTTTATTTGACCGATTGAATCTACTGTTATGCCCATTACTATTTTACTCATATGCTTATACAACTTTGCCGATGAATCATCGAAAACATGTGTTTACCTTAGGTCCATTGATCTTGATTCGGAATGGGCTGCATGCTCTAAGTATCGTCACTTAGTAATGCGATGTCATTAGCATAGCCTAAGTCGGTCACGGGCGCACCCGGTAGAAGCTCTTGGTCTAAATGTTGGAAACTTTCTGGAGCTCTCGACAGGATGTCTTCGATTACAAAGTGTAC